TTATTCCCTGCTTCACTTTCTGGAAAGGGTCCCGACACATCAATAGCAATCCTTTCCAATGGGCTCTTCACGTGGTATTGCGCATCGACGCTTTTGGTTTCCTTTGCGGTCCATTACTTGCCGCACACACACAACGCATTTCCTGCACCAGTCTTGCACGTTCTCCTTGCTATTGACCCAGTAAAATCTTTCCCTCACTTTTTTCCAGGGTTTTTGTAACTCCGACATGACCTCCTGATAAACCGGAATGGATTTCTTCTAGCAGCTCCGGGATCCGACATCTGGGGATAACGATTTGCCTTCTTTCCTCTTTGCCATCGTGGTCCACCACTTTACGCAGTAAGAGTCCGTCGTCCATAACTAGAGAATCTCATTGTGCCCAATATGATTTTATGGTAGGGGAATACTTGGCAACTTCTTCCCATGCTGGTTTCCGCTGTTCTTTCATCCAGTTCCGAATTATTTGGAGATCGGGGTCGCCCTCTTGGTCTTTAATGAGGCCTTCATTTTGCCAAGTATCACTAACAATAGTGGTTCTTAATACTTGGGCATCTTTCTCCTCTGCCCGATGGCAATGCTTTCCATCCTCTAAACAGCGTCTCCTTACGTGCCCTATTTTTCCACATTTCCAACTTGCTGTTCTGGCGGCGACGTTCACCATCAAGTTACTTAACAATGCGCTTGACGAGCTCTTCGAACTCGTTTTCTCCTGGTACCATCTGGCGGACTCTGACCTGTCTTTTATTTATGATTTTAGCGGCTTCGAATTATGAGGCCCAAGTTAGCTGATCTACTAGCTTAGGTGGATGTGCTGGTAGTAAGGCTTGCCTCATTTCACTGTCATGAAGTCCATCCAGGAATGCTTGAACTGCCAATCGCTCCATTATCCTTTCCTAAACATCAGGATATGCTAATCGTACCAACCGCGCAAAATCCGCCTCGAACTCCTGCAAGGACTCGCCTGACTTCTGGAACTGATTCTTTAATTGAGTATGGTAGACATGTTCTAAATGTGACTGGCCGTATCGCATCTCCGAATGTCCTACTAGCTGTTCGTAGACCTCTTGCTCTTCGGCTGATATTCTTTGAAGAATAGCTGCAGCATCTCCTCGCAGGGCCAAAGTGAGTGCACCTGCGTTTTCGGTCGATGCCCAACCATTTGCATTCGCGGCTGCCTCAAACTGACGTCGGTAGACATTCCAAGGCGTTGTTCCATCAAATTGCGGCGGTTTCATTCGCAGATGACCAGCTGACCCAACAGAAGCTTTAACCTCACTTTATTTTTCCAACGGAAGTCCACGTTGTTGCCCGTCGATGGTCTTTTTTTTTTTTTCTTTTTTTATACTCCAGCTACCACGAAGGCCTAAGGCCTAAGCACCCATTGGGTACCGTGGGGCTATGGGGGATACATGGGAAAGGGGGGACGCCACACGGACTCTGGCGAGGGAACACGTGTGCATGCAACATGCACACATTCTGGCTCCGCCTACGAGAACCGCCGGGTGGTACCTCCGCGTTCGACAGTCAGAGACCATCTACCACCTACGGACAATCACAACATCCATGGCCAAGAGAAACATTTCTCCTGGGACGGGAATCGAACCCGCACAGCGCACGGCGACTGATCAGGAGACCGAAGAGTCTACTACTGCGGCCACCGCTGCTGCCTAAATAAACACACAACATCCATGGCGAAGGCGAGATTCGAACTCGCGGCCCGGCCGGCCGGCTGATCAGTAGCACGACACTCTGACCCACGCGGCCAACCGAGGTCCCGTCCCTTGACGTCTAAAGCGGCAAACTTGCATTGTTCTTCTTAATTCTGTCTTCCAAAGTTTCTAAAATCCGTTTTTCCAGCTCTCAAGTTTTTTCCATAATTTTATCTTCCAATTCTTTTTATTAATTGGCAGTATTTTCCAAAAACTTCTCTTCTAATTTGGCTGTACTTTCCAAGAGTTGGCACAATTTTCCACGAGCTTTCCTTACAGGTTGGCACAATTTTCCACGAGCCTTCCTTCTAGGTTGGCACAATTTTCTACGAGCCTTTTTTCTAACTTGGCTGAGTTTTCTAAAAGATAGGTGGTCTTGGTCTAAAAGTTTTGCAGCATTAAACTAATATCCCATGCACCGGTGAAAATGAAAATATCCGGGTCCTCGCCTTCTTCAGCCGTGTCGCATTCTCTTTCCTCCAGCTCTCTCTTTAAATCGGCAATTTTCAACCAATCGCGCCATTCTTCCTTCACTGATTGTCCGATTTAATTTCACTAAATGTCCACACCCCACAACTGACACCAATGTAGCGTTTCCTGGGTTCTTTTGGGTGTGGATTAAAACACTGGATTCCACAAAAACAAATGCACTAATTTATTTATCTTGACTAGATAGAACATTTATGTACACCACTATATCTGACTAATTCTTATGTCGTGCCACTGACTGGACTATACTCCTGCTTTACTCCGTACTCTGCTTCCATCGGCCGGCTGTCGAGTTATATAGTCGGCATCGTGGGTCGAGAAGAGTCTGGTGGGCCACAAAGAGGAAGTGCAGACTCTTCTAGGCGACTTCACGTCAATCTAGAAGGCGAGTCACTGGCACGGTCCTCACAGACGTCGTCAAGCGGCCTGTGCGGTCGTGGTCCGCGTAAAAGCAGAGATCGGCCATGAAGCTTTGGCGAGTAGGAGAGTCTCCCAACAGTACTATTTGTAATTGTCACAATACAATTACTGTGTCTATTCTCACAACCTAGTGTATAATATAAGGGTTTTTCGCTTATTTTCACAAAAACCACAATTGTAGGGACGACTGACGATACGCGCCTTTATGGCCTCCTTGATTGTCATAGTTTTCTACTTTTCCGTGTCAGCGCTCTATTTTGAGGTTACGTCACAAACATCTATTTGCATCAAATTGTGCTTGCTTTTGAGTTATATCATGTTTTATCAGCATGAAATTTCCTACAATTTAAAAAGAAAACATATCTTCACAATAGGAGAGCGCTGACGCTGACACGGGACGAGTGTAATCTAGAACTTTTTGAAGCAGAGAAAGGAGTATGACAATCAAGGAGGCCATAAAGGCGCCCTACAATTGTAAGGACGACTGACGATACGGGCCTTAGTGTACGGCCTGAGTGAAAACTGTGGTGCGTGCAGCGTGGAGGTTTAGTACCTAGGAGCGTTCTTTGTCTGGCCTCAGTGAACAGGGTGAACAGTCAGCGTTGAGTTATGATACACGTATTTTGATCATCATTTCTTCATATGACATTTTCGATATGTATATATTTTCAAGAAAATTCAGTTTTAAAGTTTGACATGTTGTGCAGTGAAGTCATATTGTTAAACAAAAATATATACCAATGGTGAAATAGCACTATGGATCTTGTTCTTCTAAATTATACATGATGTTGCAGGTTAAATTTAAATGTAGGATACTAGCTCATTCCCAAAATAAGACAACCAGTTATAGTTTCAAAAAAAAGGTAATGACTGTAACTATACATTTAGAGACTCCTCAAGATACAACTTACATTTGTTGCTAGCACCATACAACTTTATTTGTCACCAAAATCACTACAACTGATCAAATCCATGGTAAATTATTACTAAAAACTACCCTTCATTTCAGGTTAGGGGTTAGAGTAGGTGAACATGACATCTCAACAAGAACTGACTGTGAGACACAAGCTGATGGATCGAGAAAATGTTCTCCTCCGCCCCAAGATGTATCTATTGAGGAAGTTTATTCTCATCCATCATTTGACTCGACCTTACTTTCTGACGATATAGGACTGATAAAAGTTAATCGTATCAATCTTAATGATGGTGAGTTACCTCATTTCATAAAATATATCCAGGTTATATACGTGGAACATTCATGGTTGTTGGCGATTCACAATCTTTCTTCTAGAGCGTGATAAGGGGTATAAAATGTAATAAAATTCAACCTATATATGTATGATCGAAACTCCCAAAATATAAGTTGTATTTACTTTAAAAAAATCAATATCAGGCTCTTTGATGCCAATAGGCATCTGCCTTCACTTTTGTAGTTACTGCTTTTTTACCTTTGTGGCAAAAGGGGCCCTCAGGTGTTTTTCCCATTATATACTATAAGCTAGAGAAATCTGCATGATTCGGATACAAAGAAATTATTTTTCATGGTTTTGTAGAGTCGCTGTTGAGACACACTCAAAATATTAACATCGCATGCCCAACGGCCAAATTTTGTACGACTTAGCTACTGCAGTGCTACATACCGAAAACTCGTGATAGGAGCACTATTCGGATTTCCATTATACTGGAACAATTTCTTTAGCGTACAGTAAATGTGGCAAAACAATTCAGAGCCCCTTTTACCGCAAAAGTGACATAAACAGGAGCTAGAATGTTATAGCCCGATTCGCAACTAGGAGGCCTGTAATGAGCAAGATTTTTAGAAAAATATTTACATTCATTTCAAATCCCGCAAACCGGGGTAACATTGGTACGGTTTTTCAAGTTTTTCTTTAATTAAACACGATCTTGCAAAAATAACTGGGCTTTGATTACTGAAGGGCAATGTACCAACACTCCCAAGTATACAATAGCACGAAAACATCATTAATTTATTTTGTAAGTTGACATATTTGGCCTTAAATGTGTCCCAATGTTACCCCCCCACTTGGGGTAACTTTGGTACAATGGCTTTTCATATGAATATTTCAACGTCATGGGCCTGTGTCCTAAAGATAGACATTGCTGAACCAAAGAAAAATGAATTGGCAAGCAAAAAACATATTTTTGCTATTTTTTATTTATAGTAGGGGGTAAAAGAACAGGATTAAAGTCTCTTAAGCTTTTATTGCTAGATAAGTACATAAAAAAGAAGTTTTAATATTTCAAATCATTACAAGTTAAATAAATAATAAATATCATTAGTTTGGTATTTTTAAATATACAAAAAAATAAAAATTAAAAAGATATAATGCCTTAAATAAGGCCTAAATCTAGAGACAAACATACATATTTTCCTTAAGCAAAATCTTTCAATTCTGGAACATCGAAAACTTCTCGATGTCCACGTCGTTCAGGTGTTTTTATAGCCATTATTATTTCTTGGTTGCTATAAAATAATTCTTCTTTTTGATTTGGCCATTTCCATTGCTTTCCATAGGGTATCATAACATTGACCATCGCTCCAAGTTTAAAAGCTTTCGTGATTTGTCCAGGGTAATATTTTTGATTGTAAATAACCAAAACGTAATTTCCAACTTTTCTTGAATCCACGGAAAAGCCATTTTTTGACTCTATCTGGTTCGGCACTGACTTCATCATCTGACAGTTCAGAATTGTAAGGGCTATCGTCTGTTTCTGCATATTTAATACTCTGAATGCTACTACCTGAGCTCTCTGAATCATTTTTTGTTCTTTTAGATTTCTGGCTTTTTGTTTCAAATACAGGTAAGCTGTTGTCAGAATCTGAACCTCTAGAAGGCTCTTGTATGCTCCTCATGTTCTGGATTCCAGACATGGAGGGCTGCGGCGAATTGTTGGGCGGCTAGGTGGAGGAGGCATTCTGTACATCAGCAACCGTTATCCCTTTACCAGGAGGCACTTGGAGTTTCTTTCTTTTACGAATACGGGGTGCTGGGGTTTCGTGAGGTATTTGAGCAAGATGTTCCAAAAAGCTTTCACCAACAACTTTTTTTATTGCAGGGTCGTCAGCCACCACATTTCCGTGCAATCTACTCAAAACGACTTCCTTATTAAAAGGAAAGATCCCGAATTTTCTGAATCCAAATTTAAGATTCTCAACACTGCGCTCTTCCAATCTTGTCAACATAGTTTTTAAAAGCCTAGGAAAGGTATCCTTTGGTATTCCGCTAAAACGACATCCTTCAGCCGTGGTCTTCCAGTCATTTAGAATTTGTCTCCAGTTTCTCTTCATAGGACGGAAATATGCTACATCCAGCTGCTGCAGGAGATGCGTACTATTTGAAGGCAGTACAATAAATCTTATATTATTCAATTCGCACTGTCTGATCACCTCCACATTGAGGTGTGAACTAAGGTTGTCCCCAATTAAAATTTTGAGACCCTCTTTTCGTTTTAGAATTGGGAGAATTAAATTAATAAACCAATCCTCAAATACTTGGAAGTCGAACCATCCAGTACTCGTACGGTTATAACGGGCATTTAATCGACCATATTCCGTCCAGGTTGACCATAGCTTTTGAGCTTTGTAATTAATATAAACCGGAGCAAGCTGACCCTCGGCATTTCCGCAAAGCATAAGAGATGTACATGCTTTCGAAGAATTGCGAATCTTCTCAGGATACTTGGTCCCCCTCCTTGTAATAACTTTGGATCGGCCCGGATCATCGACGAGATTTTTTTCGTCGTAATTATCGATGTTTGCTGGAGGGACCCCTTCCAGCTCAATTTGGAGATTATCAAAGTACTCGTTAATCACAGCCTCGTCAATAACTGTTCGTGCGTGCGAAATATTTTGGGAGAACCTTTGACTAAGTTCTGATCTGCGCTTTAAAAATGAAGCTACCCAATCAGGATCCGGATAGTTGTTGTTAAAACATGAAACTTTTCTTCCCTGCCTATCCAAGTAAGCCTTAACTCAAACTTTTAAGTCTTCAGCTGATACTGGAAAACCAAAGGCAGATAAAGCAATTAAATGTCCAGCGAATGATTCTTCTTCATCTTCCGAGAAGACCATCGGCTTACCATGTCTACGAGTATGCTTTCCATGGATTTTGTTCCATAAAGTGTGTTTCGCTATCTGATACTTTTTTGATGCACTACGGAGAGAAATCGATTTACTTTTAATTTCATCGACAGCCTGTTGAAGTTTTTCTTCTGAATAATTTTTATAATTTCGCGCACCAAGTAGACGCTGTGGCTTGCGAGGCATTATTAGTTCTGAAAGAGATAAACAAAAGCTATACAAAATTAGACTCAGTGTAACTTTGGTACACTATGTTTTTTAAATTAGATTCCACAGCAAACGTCTGCAGTCTAACTTTGGGACATGTACCAAAGTTACCTCCACATGTTACCATTTTTTATGTAAACAAACATAATATTTTTTGGTATCGATTATTTGTTTAACTATATTATCAAAACATATCCCAAATATATCTACATAAGATGTACTTACCAAAAATAAAGTGGCTTTAATCGTTTTGGCTGCCCAGTGGAAAGTTTACAGAAAATTGAATAATGCGTGTAACGACTTGTTGCAGCTAAAAATTCACTGCTGTTGCCGGAACAAATCTACTGTTGCCAAACTCACAATTTTTTCCTATTATTATCTTATAAACAAGATTGAATACCAAAAGTTGTCATATTTGCGGCTTAAATATTTTTGTAAGGTAAAGTGTGGGAAAAATAGCAGGTGTCCCAAAGTAATGCCCAAGTCACAAAGTCACCCCGGTTTACGGTACTTATGAAAAATATATAGTTGGTGAACTGTTGTTTGACCTAAATCGGTTCGATTGTCTATATGTTAAGAACGTTTTATTCATACTGATGTACAGGGTGACCAACTAAGAATGCGACGTACTGTATCTGGGAACCTATCCATCGTAGAGGCTTGCGGCAAAAAAGTTCCATCTAAAACGGTCAAGAGACAAACCTGGAAAATATTTTCAAGTTTCTGAAATGGCCGCTAGGGGGAGTAACTGCAATCTTGAATCTAAACAAGTGTTGTTTCTGTGAATTCCAGTAGGACAGCTATAGTATACAACTTAGAGACCTCCAATAATGCCATCTCTGAAGCAGATGTTACATCACATCAGCGCCAAACATCGATAGCTGAAGCATCACGAACAGATACGGAACAAGTACACAACAAATGTACAACAGCTAGTGCTAAGTTGACGTGTTGTAGAAAAACCTACATAATGTCACAAAAAACCTATGTAATACCAAAAAACCTACAGATTGACACCTTTCAAACTTTTTTCCTTAAAACGACCGAACGAATCACCCTCTGAAGTTTCGTATCAAAGTTAGGTATATGGTGAAATTTGTCGCATTTTGGGAGCCCTATTGCATTCTGAAAGGAATACTGCAAATACCTGTATATTACGCTTGAAATGTGAGTGTTGATAACTGTACTTCTTGCATGTTGTCTGAATAGTTAACACAAATACCGCATAAGTAAATTTTGATCTTAACCTTAATTGAAATTTGTGATTGGAAACAAGACTACTTTTGGTAAGCACGTTAAGCGAATGCCACGCAATCAGTATTTACTGTGCTCCGTGAGTATTTATCATGAAATGTGATATAACCGTGTAGTCTGGATGTGAGTAATCTTTTCTGTTTCAGTTTATGTGGACAATCACTGACACTGACGAAATCATCAGTAAATACTGATGATACACAGTAAATACTGATGTGTGTGATATTCGCCATAGACTTGATGTATTGATGGGCATCCACGAGAGGGCTGGTGTGGCGCTCTGAGGATCCTTTGGGTCATTAAAAATTATAATGTTGGATATTTTTAAGACTCGCCTCGCCCACTGAGAAAATTTGCACCTCAAATTATTTTGGAAGCTGATATGCTTTCATGGATACCAATGTATGTATTGATTTTCAGTAAACATAATGCCAGTGTGTCTGCCAACTGGACCTACTGTTACTGCAAAATTCAATCATGTGGATGTTACAGGTTGGGGATTCACAGAAACTGGTAAGTATATTGAAACGAAAATAATATAAATGCATAATAAACGTAAAACACAGTCCATGGCATAATACAATATACAATCTTTAAAAAAGGAAATTTATGTGTTAATTTTTCATGCACGGGTATGACATAATTTTTCAAGGGCATATTAGTTGTAGTTGTTGGCATTAATGCTGAAATTAATGCAAACCTCAGTCATTCATTATTGTGATATGCTTGATCAACGAATGATGTTTATTAGCTGAATTTACAGGGTGTCCAAGATAAGGATCCTATGCAGGGGGATCTCAATACCTGTGGTAGATACAGTTTAGGTTAGAGTAGGAAAAAGTTCCTTGAGCCGTGTTTACATATGCTGTTGAGAAACTTGTGAAGCTTTCATGGCTTACTGAGATATTTGGGGAAAACTAAAATTTAGCCAAATCATACTTATTTTCTTCTGACTTTATTTCAAGAAATACCAATAAACTAATGAAACTTTTCCATTGGCACTTTTTAGGCACTACATGATGGCGTTTTTAAATGTTGTACCCGATGGTTCATTTTTTAGAAACCATCATCCACTTTTTTCATATGGTCCGAAAAAAGTACACCCTGTATCTAATAATATTTGTTTATGGGAATTCAACTATGTATTATGTTATGTTATGTTACATTTATTTTCTTGGTTATAAGGAAAACTTCGTTTTTTCTGTTTTTTTTTAAGTAGGCGCTTAAAACGAATGCCGGATATAATATGGAGAAAAGTTCTACATGCTCACATTTTGTGCTATAGAAATACTATAAAAATATTGCAGTGGTATAACTTGATAAATTTTCCAGAAGAAGGCAGCCAATTAAGTCCATTTTCTTATAGTTGGCTCGAAAATTAAATGAATCTGGTTTATCTTACGTCTGGAAAGAAGGGAATCCTTAGATTAGTGTTTTACAAGCATTTGCCGAGAATTCTGAGATATCAACTAGGCAAATTGAGAAAAATGTAGGAGTACCCAAATTTACTGCCCAATTTATTTTGCGTAAAAATATATATAATCCCTATAAATTCAGGATTTGCCAAGGACTTATACCAGGAATAGCGAACGACGCTACCATTTTTATCAGAGATACACTCAAACGTAAGAAGATTTTAATTTCCCTTCAAAACTAATGTGGTCCGAGAGTATGGTCACTAATAATGGTATCTTTGATCGCCGCAACACTCATTACTGGGCTCAAGAAAATCTGCGGGTTAAAAAAGTATCCAGATATCAAGTACGTATCATTCTAGATCTATTTATTTACCATAACATGCAACATGATCTAGAACACTGCCTGAATGATTTACCTCTAGCACAGATAAAGGCAATATTGGTTCCCACAAGACGGTGTTCCTGTACATAACTCTAGCCATGTTCAAGAGTGTCTTTCTCAGCGATCCCCAGAAGGTGGATTGGAACCTCCTGTTTTGTTGAAAACCAAGTTTATCAGCATACTTCTGAAACTGAGCAGCAGTTGCGAAAATGTGTAATGGAAGCATTTAGTATGATTACACCAAAAATGTTAGGTGATATTTTGAATTCTACTGTTAGATCATATTTATGTTTAGAAGATAATGGCAACGCAACCTATTTGAACACCTATTGTGAATAAAGTAAAAATAATATTAAAAATGTATTGGTTATTCTGAATATCATTAGATCAATCATCAATTTATAAATTTTTCCCCGACGATTATGTAATATGCATATATCAGTAATTACATGATCTACAGCGTTTCTCAACGGCACGTAAATATGCCCCAAAGACCGCACTTTTTTTTTAATATTTTCTAAGCTGTATCTCTCACATGTATTGAGATCCCCATGCAAAGGATCCTTATCTTGGACACCCTATTTACGGATTTACTGTTTTGCCGTTGATTAACGTATTCTATCTGAAGACAGCCAACCATAAACTGTACGAAAGAACGAATTTATAAATCTACTTTGAAAAGAGTTTGGCTCTGATACAGTCTGATTGATGGCGCTAGGGTAAAGCCCTTTTTGGCGCCTCTCTAATACCTATTTTAATTGGGTATCTTCAGACATTGATTGATGTATTCCACCTGAAGATACCCAATTAAAATAGGCATTCATAGGAGAGTCAAAAAAGGTATTAAAGATTCTAGCCCCATCTATGAGACGATAGCAGAAGCACTAGCAGGACGTCAGAATACAGGTTGACTATCTAGGTAGAATACGTTAATCAATGATGACCAAAAAATTAATTAGCCATATAGACCAAAAATATACACCTACTGCAAATGTAGAAGCTATAATAAACCAATCTGACCATAAAAAAGATTAAATAATCTCCCGGGGTATTGATAAAGATATTTGTTGTGGTGTATGAAAAGTCCCCAGTTCGAAACATGACTCTGGCTAGAACGTTTCGCTTGTATTTGCAACTATACCGTATTAAATATACCTCTTTTAATTGCAGGTCGGAAAAGTCAAATACTTCAGAAGGTATCTTTACCTGTAGTTTCTTTAGAAGAATGTAAAAGAGTCTATAATAGCCTTCAACAGAATTTGAAGATAACCTATAAGCAACTGTGTGCTGGGGGAAGAAATGACAAAGATTCCTGTTCAGGCGATAGTGGTGGACCTTTGCAGGTAAATATTGCTAACAGGGGCGTATTTACACTGTTAGATGCTTATGGTACTTTAAGCTTATATGATTCTTAAGGGAATAATTTCTCGCAGCGGCAACAGTTGCAGGGCACAAAATCCACTTCTGGATTATACTACTTGTTGGTTAGATCTGAGGTCACATTATAGATGTTCCTTGAGAATTCAGTGCAGTTTGAAGGATGATCTTTGCTTTAATTTCAATCAAACAGCAATTGATTAACGTATTCTTCCTGGAGATAGCCAACCTTGTATTTCGGCGTTCAAAAAGTATCCGAGATGGAATTAAATACCGTGGCGCCATCTATGGCACTTTGCCGAGCGATGTTTCTCCTCTCCGCAATAATAAGAAATCTACTTTTAAAAGGTCATTGTCTCATAGATGGTGCTGTAGCCAACTATATAAGCATATGTTCAAGGGAGGATTTAACATTTTCATTTCACAGTAGGCTAGAACAGGTCTTCACATGTTTCCAAAATTTCAATAATCTATAATATGCAATCAGGTATCCTTTTTGCAGGTTTCAACGTTCCTCAATGACGACACGAGGTACATCCAACAAGGTATAGTCTCATTTGGGCACAGATTTTGTGGCGAAGAAGGGTTTCCAGGTGTTTATACAAAAGTTGCTTATTACATGGACTGGGTATTGGATACTATAGGAAATTGACGTCGTACGCATCATACAATCATTGTTATAATTTTAATTTATCTGATAAGGATTTATTTTCTATAATAAGTAGGCTGTGGTTATTTTTTACCGTTAGAAGTGTATGACTTTTAAACATGTAGGTGTGGAACTTTTTCACTTACCACGCCACTGGCGAGGAAGCATTGTAAACGAGAAAAATTAAAAAAATGCGATGTTTTTTGGATGTTATATGACCTCTATATCACGATAAACCATGTCACGGTGAGGCCTATCTCTATGTCGGCCTGCGTGTCTGTCCGCTAATGCTTGGCCCGTCTACAGTATATTCAGATAAGAGATAGACCGGATGTACACAAAAGGTTCGGGTGATTTTCACGCTAACGCCGCTGTCTCGACGTAAAACAGGAGCCCTCATTGGTCAATTCGCAATTAAATGCCTATGCCGAGCGGCAGAGCAGTCGTATCAAGGCAGAGTCACATTCGGGTTCAGACGTGTTACGTATGTCGTGTGCATCATTGCAATTTGACATTTCTTTGGACGTTTTCGTTTGTTATCTTATTAAGTTGTTGAGTTTGTCGTTATTGTTATACCTTGTTATTGATTGTTATTGTTATCAACTGCTTGCGCAAAATGCCCAGTAGTGCAGATACTGCCGATGAAGTTGTAAACTCCTGTAGTCCACCTAGGAAACGCTCTAAAAAAAGACACCTGAGTGCAGAAATGAAAGAGGTCATTTTGAATATATATAAGATCGAGCGCGAGGAGAACGAGGCATCAACCATCAAAGAAATTGTTGTGAAGGTTTCTCACAAAGTTGGGGTGTGTCGCGCATCAGTGTTTAATGTGTTAAGACAATACAAAAAAAATCACACCTTTTCTGAGCCAATGACCAGTAAACATCGCAAAAGTATTGTTAAATCATTGGATGAAGCTGATAAGCATGCGATTAGGAGGAAAGTGCATGAATTCTTCTTTAGGAATGAAATACCTACTATAGATAAAGTACTGCAGGAGGTAAATGGAGATACAACGTTGCCAAATTTCAAACGATCAACTTTCCATGCGTTACTGAAGCATTTAAATTTCAAATGAAAAAAACGGGGTCGTAATAGTTTACTACTGGATAGAGAAGAAATTGTGCTATGGAGGAGGGATTATTTAACAAAAATTGGGAAATATAGAAATCAAAACAGGAAGATTTATTACCTTGATGAAACGTGGGTAAACGCAGGACACACTACAAGTAAAGTATGGGTTGATGATTCTGTAACTTCATCCAGGAGGGCCTTTCTAGATGGACTGTCCACCCGATTAAAAAATCCAGCAGGTAAATACGAGTAACAGACAACAATCGGATGTTTTTCAAACCTTGGTAACAAGGTTCTAAACATTAATTCCAGGGGGCAGATAAAACATATTACAAGTAACAAAACTTTTATAACTTTCGATAAAATGCGTGGATGGTTCATTGTCATTTTCATTTGTTAGAACTTTTTTAAGCCATGTTTTTATGTGTTTTCGATATTTCAATAATTTTTTAATATAATCTTAAAATATGTCGAATATTATAAACTTAAAAAAAGTTACTAAGTTTTATATTGTGTACCGTTCCTAATATTTCTAATCATTTTAATTCATACTTTAAGCTTTATAAAGTTATAATTTGTTAATATTAATATTTGCGCGTATTTCAGGTTCCTGATCATTTATTTTTTTAAAGGTTTATAACTTTAAATTAAATAGTGAAGCGCTGAGTAATCATACGACGTTCAATATTCTTTCTTTCAATACGACTAAATAATCCCAATTATAGCAATCTGATACTCATGTCTCAATGTTTTTTCGCTGAATGTGATGAAAACATTTGAAAAAGGTTCGCTTATTGAAATAAATCTACACCAGTTAGTACTTCGATTTCCAGGTAAAGGGAAAAGGCTCATTATCTGCCATATTGGCAGTGAGGATGGATTTGTTGTTGACGGTCTGTGGTGCTTTGAGTCTAAGAAAACTGGAGATTACCACGAGGAAATGAATGGCGAATCGTTTGAACAGTGGTTTTCAAAAATTTTACCGAACTTGAGGAAAACGCAGTAATTGTGTTCGATAATGCGCCTTATCATTCTCGAAGAATGGAGAAGGTCCCAACAACGGCTTCAAGGAAAGTTGATGTTCAAAATTGGCTCCGCTCGAAAAATATCAACTTTGAAGAAGCAATGCTGAAAGTACAATTATTAAGAATTGTCAAGGATCACAAGGCGGAATATCAAAAATACGCCATTGACGAAATGGCAGCAAGTCAAAATAAAACTGTGCTCCGTTTACCTCCATACCATTGCGAGCTCAATCCCATTGAGCTCATATGGGCAGAGGTTAAAAATTATATAGCTAAGCACAATACAACTTTTAAATTTTGTGACCTCAAAGGACTTTTCAAAGAAGCACTAGAATTAATAACAGCGCAAAAATGGGAAAACTGTATTAAGCACGTGAAAGACAGTTGAAAAGAGAATGTGGGAACTGGACAATATTTTAGAGGAACAAGTCGAGCCATTCATTATTGACGTTGGTGCTTCAGGCAGTAGCGATGATGAAAGCTCATCAAGCTCATCTTTCCAATAAAAGATGTCGTTCATCAAATTCGGTAAGTTATAAGTAATTATAAAGCTACTGTATTTTTTAATTAATTATTGAAATTTTTGAACCCATTTTGGCAAAACCTATTCAAGAATCTACTTTCTGACAATGTTCAACCATGCACATTTTTTTACGTTTTGAACGTTTTAATTTGGTTACATATTTACCTAGAAATCAAAAAATATACTAATCAATATTCTAAAAGCAATTTTAAGAGATATACTATTATTTTTAATTTAGGCTAATTTAAACGCCATTTTGAGATTATATTCGACTGTATTTCACCAAACATCAGGCGGCATCCGAAGCTGGAAATCGAAGCGAAAATTTTGAAACCCTTATGTATATTTAAATCATTATATATTTCTTACCCCACCCCCACATGATCCTATATCTATCACCAATCGTATACACATCGAATTGTGCTAATTTACTACAAAGTTACGCAAAGCAGCATCTACTATCTAAAATATGTACTGCGTGACTCTTAATACGTCCCTGCCGAATGTTACAGCGTTCGATGATCACGTGGTCTTGTTTATGTCCGGTCTATCTCTTATCTGAATATACTATATAACTTATGCAAAGCACCACTCAGTTTTTGATGAAATTTTCACACAATCGGTTCTATGGCAGCGAAGCGACGGGCGAAAAACAAAATAGAAATTGCTTGAACATCGTTTTTTGACGTTTCGCTCCTGAGACCGTATTTTTGGAAATCGGTGATAAAAGTCGTATACGATAATGATCACTTGTTACAAGATTTGGTATTTTTGAAACATCATCGCCTACCGTCGTGGGAATCAATGATTAATTTGTAACACTCGGAGTACACCGAATTTTGGACGAAATTACACTTTTTCATCTCGTAAAACGTTTTAATTTGTTTTTGAATTGCCTTAGAAACGTACGTACTGCAAAAATGATGAAAAAAGAAAGAAAAAAATAAATTCTTTACATTCACATAACAGAATCTGCAAGTATTCGCTCTTGAATTGTAACGGCAGCAGCATTATTGGGCGAGTTTTAATGGAAGTAGATGCCATTTTGGAGTTGGTCAGAATCCCAATTGTGGTTAATTTTTTTTACTATTTTAGTTAACTTTTATTTAATACTGCTACAAGCATGTTGCCGTGTTCCTATATGAGTAATTATCAATATTTCCAATGGTTAATACCACTAATAATAATTTATTGTTTGATAATATTCTTGGTGAAAATGGGAATACCCCATACCGCGCATAGCTTTTTGGATAAGTAACAGGCATTTATTTGTCAGATGTTTCTCTTATCGACCTTATTGGGGTTCTACAATGAACTGCAATTATTCATACTGGAATACAGTAACATTTTAATGAACAGAAGTATATTAAATCAACGCTTTATGCACTGGACTAATCGCTGGCTGACGGATTTTGTAAGCGGTAGTATTTATATGATAGGTGTACAAGTAGGACCTAAAATTGATCTCCAGCAAATAGAATGTACTGAAAATGTGTAAATGTATCTTTTAGGAATAAAAAGACCTATTGGAATTACTGGTTTAGGGATTATTTTTACATATTTATTGAAACAACGTAAGTAAATATATTACAAAATTCAAAGTGACAGGGTGGTGACACTGTTCCGTGAAAGGTAACGGTTGATCGTCATTGGTCAATTTAACTCAATCAAACTGTCAGAAAATAGTTAATTCAGCGTTTTACTACGTGATAGAAATCGTATGAGTTGGTATTTTTGAAACCGTTTGAAATAAACAACACACATATGACATTTCAGCATGTATGTCGTAGCTTGGTTATAGATGTGAGTGTGACAGCGCTAGTACCTCTCTCATAAATGCATTTGAAGTAATTTTCTAGATAAATGTCCTTTTGCACGTTGTCGATATTCGAATTCGATATCTATCTGAGATGGCATCATTATATCTCAAGGGCGATGGAGGTGTAATGCAAGCCAATAATTATATTCCAAGTATGATAAAGAAAAACTTTTATTCAAAAACATAGAATAATCAAGCAAAATGTTCAATCAAAAACTGATAATATTCCTTGTTCTATTTTATCACAAGCACTTGAGGCAAATATTCCACATCTTGCTAGGTGCATTCTGACGCTGGTGATGTACTGCAACAAATATCTTTAATCGGTGCTGTACATTTTTTAAACTGTTCAAGCTTACCTTGTCAAGATATGACAATTTCGATTCTTTCGAATATGGTTTGTTAAAATCAACTCTTCTTTCATTGCTGCAACCCACTTCAGCTTCATGTACTCTTCTTAGATCCTCCAAGAAAGTGCTAAGCTGAAATTCGATGGGGTCTATGTCAACCTAAAATCATAAACAAGATATATTTGTTTTAATTATGTTCAATGAAATGAAAGATATTGATTAATTGATAAAGGAGCATGGGCATTTTAGTACACAGATATCAATTATTTTTATACTGCTGGAAACGTCTTTCCAAATACATACTGTGGAAGATATTAATTTTTTACGTATTTCAAAGCATGTATTGGGGCCGCATGGCACGATATGAAATTTGATAATAAATTTGTATACAACTGGCAGCCTGGCAAAAGTCAGGTTATATTAAATACGAACGTAGGCTGTCACATCTATACCCTATTTCACGCGTATCCATCACGCTTTGACGTCTACTGAGGTGAACAGCTGATCAGCAAGTGACATTTTTGTAAATAATTTGTTTGCAGCGTTTTGTTTTTGTATGCAAATGAACTTTTCTAAATAAAAGATCTTTTAGCAAGCAAATATGGCTCGTATACCTGGCATTGACGGAGTAGTCAGAATTATGTGTCCTTTCCCGATATGGGGAATTCCGACATATTACTAGATAACCAGCTGTCATTCTACCGTGATGGATACTTTCCTTACCATGCATTCGGCAACCCAGCATACTGACACTTGTCAGATGTGAGCATTTGTAGATTATAACGGTGACCGCGTCTTAAATTTTGCCAGGTTGTCAGATGTCGTATACAAGAAACCACACAGACACCGTATTGCTCCGAAACAAAATTTCAAAAAATGTTTCGTATTATCTGCATCGTCCTTCTGGGAATACATTTTGAAAACATTCAGAATTATACAGGGTATTCGACTATTGACCTGGATAACAAAGATGCTTTTTTGGTGGATAGCTATTTTATTGTGTGTATAATTGAATAGATCCACATACTTCTAAGATTTGTCGAGTAGTTCTTGAGATTATAATTATGTATTTTGTCGAAAAAGAATATGATAGTACGACGACCAATACCTCGACCTTTGTAATAGACAGAGTACTCAATTTTCTGTAAGATTTTTCACCCATCTATTTAAGTTTA